TCCACTGAGTGGTCCTGTGCTGACTGGAGGGCAGATCAACTGTCCATTCTGTGCCCCAATGTTCCCCCCGTGTGCTTGTCTCCCCTCCCCCCAGCTCCAAACACTTCCCATGAGATAGGCTACATGCCAGTCCATGCGATGACTCACTGGCCTCTGGGTGGCTCCTTTATTCAGTTGTCTGTGGCCCCTCACTCCTATGTGGGTCCACAGGAACCCTGTTATTGGTCTTGCTAGCCTGGAGGCCACCAAGGCCTTCTCCCCTGCCACCTCCAAGCAACTTCATATGAAGGGCACAGCAGCGGCATTTGCCAGCGCTTGTTCTGTGTGCTCACCAGGGCCAGCCTTGAAGTGGTCACGGCTCAAAATGGTCAGAGCCATCCTTTCTTCTCTCATTTTGGCTTCTCCTGCCTTCATGAACTCTGTAGGTCTCTCCTCCTCTTCCCTTGAGCTCTAATGGCCTCAGCTTAGCTGTCATTGCTTTTTAATAGTTGTAAATTGGCTGATTATTGCAAAGAGTGATGCTGGGGACCACCTATTCCACCATCTTGATTCTGACCTCTATTTATTTATTTAATTACTATTAATTAATTTATTATTTCTATTAGCAATTCATTATTACAAATCGTACTTATTCTTTAAGCCCCTTATCCAATCTCTCCCCTCTTCCACCATCTTGATTCTGACCTCTATTTATTTATTTAATTACTATTAATTAATTTATTATTTCTATTAGCAATTCATTATTACAAATCGTACTTATTCTTTAAGCCCCTTATCCAATCTCTCCCCTCTTCCACCATCTTGATTCTGACTTCTATTATTTATTTATATTAGCAATTCATTATTACAAATCATACTTATTCTTTAAGCCCCTTATCCAATCTCTCCCCTCTCCTGTCCCCCTCCCCCTCTAATAACCATAGATTGTTCTCTCAATCTGATAGAATAATTGTTCTTCTGTTGATTTGTTGCCTAGATGATCTGTTCGGTACTGAGTCAGGTGTGATCAAGTCCTCCCCTATTATCGTAAAGCAGATGCTTCTATTACACCGGAGTGTGCTTTGTGGAAAGAGAAGACCTCTTTTTTTTTTTCCGTCTCCACTGGTGCCTCTCCTTGTGTCAATGCAGTTGAGAGTTTTGCATGCCATCTGCATGGTGGCTGTGACTACTACTATAGAGACTAGCCACTCTTGTGGCACCCATGGCAATTGTGGTGGGTATGGTGGACTATCTGCATGGGAATGGTGTTTTCGGTGTGCTCTTTACCTGGTTGCAGCTTCAGCTTCCCCTGGATTCATGCCTCGGGACCCCAGTGGGGCCCCAGGGTGGAGGTGGCAGCATGCCTAGTTGCAGCTGGGTTTGGCTTCCCCCAGCTCGATGTCTCAGGACCATGGTGGGGTCCTGGGGTGGGGGTGACAGCTTGCCTAATTGCAGCTGGGTTCAGCTTCTCCAGCTCCATCCCAACCTCTTCTTTTTTAATGTAGTCATTTTCAGCTACAAGTTTCCCTCTGAACAGTGTTTTTGCTATATCATATAACCTTTGGTATTCATGTTTTCATTTTTTATTCATCTCAAAGCATTTTCTAATTCATCTTCTTATTTCTTCTTTGACCCATTGGTTCTTCTGAGTGTATTTTTGAATTTCCAAAGTTTGTTGAATTTTCGAGATTTCCTTCTGAGTTCTATTTCATTCCATCATGGTGAGAGAAGATACTTTGTATGATTTCAATCTTTTAAAGTTTGCTGAGACATGTTTTGTGGTCTATCATGTTGTTTATCCTTGAGAATGTTTTATGTGAACATGAGAAAACTGGGTATTCTGCTGTTGTCGAGTGGAGTGTTTTATATGTCCATTAGGTCTAATTGGTTTATAATGTTGTTCAAATCCTCTATTTCCTTACTGGTTTTTTCATCTAGTTGTTCTATTAAAAAGGGGTGTTGAATTCTCCAGCTATAATTTTTTAACTATTTGTCCCCTCAAGTCTGTCAGTTTTCCCTATATATATTTTCGAATCTGTTGTTAAGTGCATTTATATTTATAATTATTATATCTTCTTGATGAATTGACCCTTTTATTATTACATAATGTCATTGTCTCTTGTAGCAATATTTGTCTTAAAGTCTATTTTGTCTGATATTTGTATAGCTACTCCAATGCTTTTTGTTACTCTCTGCATCAAATATCTTTTTCCATCCTTTTACTTTCAACCTATTTGTGTCTTCTGGAGCTAAAGCAAATCTCTTGTAGAAAGTATACAGTTGGACTATGTTTTCTTTAAATTTATTCTGCCAACACTGTTTTTTAATTGGAAAGTTTAATCCTTAATTAAACTTCTGTCATTTTGCCATTTGTTTTACATGTCATATCTAATTTGTTCCTCAATTCTTCCACTATGTCCTTCTTTTGTATTATATAGATATTTTTCTAGGCTACCATTTGATTCCCTCTCCCTTCTTTTAGTATGTTTTAAACTTATTTTCTTAGTGGTTGCCCTCGGGATTACAATTAATATCCTAATGCAATGACTGATTTTATGGGTCAACTTTGCTAGGCCAAGTACCCTGTTTTTGGTCAAACCAGCCTAGACTTTGCTGTAAAAGTATTTTTTAAATATGATTAGCATTTAAATCAGTAGACTTTAAGTGCATTACCCTCTATAATATGGGTGGGCCACATCCAATCAGTTGAAGGCCTTAAGAGAAAAGACTAAGGTCCCCAAAGGAGAAAGAAATTCTGCCTTTGGACTAGAAACTGCAATATCAACTCTTCCCTGGTTCTCCAGCTTGCAGGCCCACCTTGCAGATTTTGGGTTTGCCAGCTCCCCACAATCAGGAGCCAATTCCTTAAAATAAATCAATAGTTACTTATTTTAAGTGTCTATCTCCGTCTCTGTCTATATATTTATAATCTCCTATTGGTTCTGTTTCCCTGGAGAATCACAATACACCTAAATTTATGTCAAATCGTTCTAACTAGTTAACTGTTTCAATCTTGTACAAAACTTTGCTCATGTATAACTCCATCCCTATTGTTATACTTTCAGAAATTACATACTATACATTGTGTGCTCATCCACATAGATTTATAATTATTGTTTTATGTGACTGTCTTTTAAATCATATAGAACTCATGTATAACTCCATCCCTATTGTTATACTTTCAGAAATTACATACTATACATTGTGTGCCCATCCACATAGATTTATAATTATTGTTTTATGTGACTGTCTTTTAAATCATATAGAGGCCAGTGAGCGGGAACCGGTCTGTATGTGGGATCCGAACCCTCGGGCGGGAGCGCCGCCGCGCTTCCCAAGCGGCGCACTATCCAGTGCGCCACCAGGCCGGCCCTCTCTTTCATTTTTCAAGTGACCTTTTTTGTCTTTTATGTAAGTTTTATTTACTTTCATGATAAAAATTTTATTTTAACTAATGTTACCTCAAAATTTAATCAAAAAGAAAACTTCCCAAAATAAATATCCCTATTTTAAATTGGCTTCCACTTAACATACAAGGAATATAAACATACAAGAAAAATCTACAAATGTTAGAATACAGAAATTCAGAGATTTGTCATTTTAGAAGGCTATTGCTTCTTCTTCTTTTTTTTTTTTTTTTTTTTTTTGTGCAGCACTCAGAGGAAGATTTATACTTACAAGCACCTATATTAATAAGAAAAGTCTCAAATCAGTAATGCAAACTTCTACCTTAAGAAAATAGAAAAAGTAGAGCAAACTAAACCAATAGCAAATATAAGTAGGAAATAACAAAGATTACAACAGAAATATATAAAATGGGGAATTAAAAAATGAGAAAAAAATCAACAAAACCAGAAGTTGATTCTTTAAAAAGATCAACAAAATTTGCAAACTTTTATCTAGAATGGCCAAGAAAAAAGAGAGAAGACCAAAGTTACTAAAATGAAGTATCATTTTGCTGGATATAGAATTCTTTGTTGACGATTTTTTTTTTCTTTCAGCATTTTGAATGTCATCCAACTGTTTCTGGCCTTATGGTGTCTGTTGAGAAATCAGCTGTTAATCTTACTGAGGAGTCCTCATACATGACAAATCTCTTCTCTCTTGCTGCTCTAGGACTTTTCCCTTGTCTTTGTCTTTTTTTTTTTTTTTTGTCTTTTTCCGTGTCCGGCAACGGATCGCAACCCTCAGTGTTGCCCCCGTACCGGACCGGGGACCGGCAATGGGATTGCAAGCCTCGGTGTTGCTCCCGCGCCTCGCTCAACCAGTGAGCGGGAACCGGTCTGTATGTGGGATCCGAACCCTCGGGCGGGAGCGCCGCCGCGCTTCCCAAGCGGCGCACCATCCAGTGCGCCACCGGGCCGGCCCCGTGTCTTTGTCTTTTAATGGTGCAATTATAACATGTCTTATTGTGGATCTCTGAGTTTATCCTACTTGAATCTTGTCAAGCTTCTTGGATGTACAGATTTATGTCTTTCATCAAATTTGGGAAGTCTTCAGCCATTATTTCTTCAAATATTCTTTCTGCCCCTTCTTTCTTCTTTTTCCTGGGACTATTATTATGTGTATGATGGTATACTTGATGGTGTTCCACAGGTCTCTTAGACTGTGTTCATTTTCTTCACCTTTTTTTCTGTTTCTCAGACTGAATAATCTCAATTGATCTATCTTCAAGTACACTGATTCTTTCTTCTGCTTGCTCGATTCTATTTAAACTCCATAGTAAAATTTTCATTTCAGTTATTGTATTTAACAATTCCATGATTCCTATTTGGTTATTGCTTTTATCTCTTTATTGATACTGTATTTGATGAGACAACATTCTTATGGTTTCCTTTAGCTCTTTGAGCATATTTAACATAGGTTATTTAAAGTCTTTGTCCAGTATGTCCCAATGTCTGGGCTTCCTCTAAGGCACTTTCTATTAATTTCTTTTCTTCCTGTGTATGAACCCTACCTTATTTCTTTACATACTGTCTTAGTCCATTTTGTGCTGCTGTAACAGAATACGAAAGATGGGGTGATTTTTAATGAACAGAAATTTATTGGCTCACAATTCTGAAGGCTGGGAAGTCCAAGATCAAGGTGCTAGCATCTTGAGAAGGACTTCTTGCTGTGTCAATACATGGCAGAGGTGAGAAGATGGGAGGGAGATGAACACAGCCTTTTATAATGGCACCAGTTCCACTCACAAGGGAGGAGCCCTCATGGCCTAATCGCCTCCCAAAGGTCCCACCTCCCAATACTGTTACAATGCAATTAAATTTCAACATGAGATTAAGAGGGGACAAACATTCAAACTAGAGCACATGCCTGAGAATCTTTCCTTGAAAATTGAACATTGTTAATGGGAATCTGAATATCAGACTCTCCCCCCTTCTCAGGGTTTATTGCTGTTTATTATTGTAGGGCTTGTTGTTTATTATTGTAGCTGTTTGTTTGTTTAGTGGATTTTCTGATTTTGTAAAGTCTGTATTCTTTGTCACGGGTAGCAAATGAAGTCTCTGTTCAGTTAGGTGAATGGTCATCTAGTGATTCATCAGAAACTTCTTAAGAGCCTGAAACCAAAAAAAAAAAAAAAATCTCCGAGTCTGCAGATGGGCTGTGTGTATCTTGGGGCATGCCTTCAATGCTCAGCTAGGCACATTACAGCTGTGCCTTAGCCTTCTCTTCTCGCTTGTGCAGAGCCTGGAGGTTAGGCAGAAATGACAGCTTAGAGTTTTTTCAGCTCTTTCCTGAGAATGCATTCAACCCCATGCAATAAAGTGAACTTCTAGATTCCCAGGAATGGGTGGAGATTTTCAAAGTCCTTTCTCCCCAAAGCATTTCATTCTCCAGCCTTTCCTCCCAAGCTTTTAGATTTTGTTTGCCCCAAGAGGCAATGGCTAATACATATCCCTTATTTGGCTTCTAATTTC